CTGGGACTGCGCCGTGAGCTGCAGTTTGATGGCACTCGAGTTCACTTTGGCCGCGCGGAGCAGCTCCTTCATCCCGCGCATCTTCTGCGAGCGGAAGCGCAGCACCGGCCCCGGGGGGGGGCGTGGGGGGCGGCCCGGGGGGCGCAGGGGCCGGCGGGGCCGCGGGGGGAGCGGGCGGCGTCTCCTCGGGCCGGGGGGCGCGGGGGGGAGGCCGGCGCTCCCCGCCTTTCTTGGGGGTCGGCGGCTCCTCGGGCTTGGACTCGCGGCGGGGGCCGCGGCGTCGGCAGTCCCGGGGGTCCTCGGGGCCCCCCAGCTCCGCCTCGGGGGGGGCCGGGTCCTCCGACAGCAGCGTCACCTGCTGCCGCACCTGGGGGTCGTGGGGACACACACACGGGGGTCACTGGGGGGACAGATGGGGGCTCAGAGGGTCCTGGAGGTTATTGGGGGGACCCTGGAGACCCCCCAGAGGTAATTGGGAACCCCAAGGAGGACATGGGGAAGCCCAGAGCCCACCCAGGACCCCCCAGACACCCTCGGGATCCCCCCAAAGCCCTCACCTGGCCATCGAAGCGGCCGAGGGACTGGACGAGGAAGGTGGCCCAGCCCACGTGCAGCACCGGGGTGGGGCTCCCCTCCTCCCACCGGCAGATCCCGTCGTAGAACCGCAGCAAGTGAGCGAAGCACTCGGGGTCCTGCAGCGCCGGGAGCCCCCCGGGGGCCCCCTGCAGAGCCCAGTGTCAGGGGGGACCCCCGAGGAGGGAAGGACCCCACTAATGGGGACAGGGCCACCCCCGCCCTGGCACCACAAAACACAGGCCAACCCTGGCACATCAGGGACACCCCAACGGGGACCCACAAATTCGGCTCCCCCAGATGTGGGGTAACCCCTGGGCCCCCCAGTCCAGACTCCCTGAGGCATCCCCGGATGTGGGGCTCCCTCTTGGACCCCCTGAATGGGGAGCCCCAGGTATGGGACAACACCTGGGGCACCCCAATAGGGACCCCTCAAATGTGGGGCACCCTCAGCTGTGGGACACCCACCTGGACACCCTAAACAGGGACCTCTGAACATGGGGCACCCCACAAACACCCCAAAATGCACCCCCCCATGTACCCCCAGACCCCCAAACACAGCAGGGACAGCCATCCTGGGTAGGGCCCCCCCCACCCTACCCAGGGTGCCCCCAAACCCGGGGGTCCCACCTCAGCCCCCGGGGGGGGCTCGGCCGCCGCCTCCTTGAGCAGGTTGGGGATGACGTCGTTGGCCACGTCGAAGAATTCCTTGTAGATCTCCTCGTCCTCCCGGCAGTAGTTGTAGCTGGGGGGGGCACAGGGGAGCTTGAGAGGCTGCCCCATGGTGGTGGGGGACACACAGGGCTTGAGGGGCTGCCCCACAGCCATGGGCAGGGCTGGGGACCCCTAAAAGGGTCACAGAGCCTGCAGAGGGTGAAGGAACCCCCGAGAGCCAGGCCCTGGGCAGGGCCCCCCACCTTCCCTGGCCTCGGCCTTGGAGGTGCCTGCGGGGGGCCCAGGACACCCCACAGCCATAGGGGGGATATGGACCCCTAAGAGCCCCCCTGCCCTGACCCCACCCCCCCAAGCCTCACAGGAGGAGGGAGCCCCCCCAGCCCAGCCCACAGTGAGGGTTGGACCCCCAGGGGTCCCCCCAAGGCCCCCCAGCCCCCCGCTCACTCCTGGATGACGGTGGCCGTGTCAGCCCAGGCCTGCAGGGCCTCCTTGACGTTCTTGTTGCGGCAGTGGAACCCGGCCAGGTACAGGTAGGGGTAGATGTGCTCGTTGTTGTAGTGGGTGCGGGCGGACTGGATGCCCTGAGGGTGATGGGGGGGAGGTCAGTGCCCACCTGGGCTCACTCCTGGGCTCCACACAACCCCCCAGCCTGGCTCACCTGGTGGTACAGGGTGAGGGGGTCAGGTCTGCCCGGGGTCGGCTCCAGCTCCTCCAGGTCCGCCAGGTTCCCCAGGGCCATGGGGTACCTGTGGGGCAGGTGGGGGGCAGCCCCACAGCGGGTTGGGGTGGCCCCACGGCAGGTTGGGGGGCAGCCCCAGGGCAGGTCAGGGGTCCCTCTCACCTGTCCAGGTGCCCCATGTCGTAAAGCAACCAGAGCAGGCGCTGCAGAGGAGAGGGAGGTGTGAGAGGGGACACCTGCCCCACACCCACTGCAGCAGCTCCAGGCTGTCCCTGTGCCCCCCCTGCCCCACCTGCTGCACCTGCAGCAGCTCCAGGCTGTCCCTGTGCCCCCCCTGCCCCACCTGCTGCAGCTGCAGCAGCTCCAGGCTGTCGGTGTGGCCATCGATGGACGGGTTGATGGCACAGACCATAAACGCCACCTCCATGTGCCTCGTGCAGCGCAGGTATGAACCCTTCAGGTACAGCCAGCTCTGGGCAGGGGACACAGGAGACATGGGGGACACAGGCGACACAGGGACACCTGTGCCCCCCACCCAGGAACAAACCTTTCAGGTACAGCCAGCTCTGGGGGACATGGGGGGCACAGTGACACAGGTGACATGAGGGACACAAGGACACATCCATCTGTTCCTCCTCCCACCCCCCACCCCTGTGCTGGGGGCACCATCTGTCCCCAGAGCTCCTCAGCATCCCCACCTGCCCTGGGGACTCCCCTGTCCACCCCCATCCTCAGACCCCACAATCCCCTGAGTCTCCTCTGTCCCCATAGATCCCCCCGGTCCCTGTCCTTATACCCCTGTCCCCCATTCCTCCCTTCCTGTCCCCCACACCCTCTGAGCCCCCCATGTGTCCCCTCCCTCCCCGTGCCCCCACGTACCCTCTGAGCCCCCCGTGTGTCCCCTCCCTCCCCGTGCCCCCTCGTACCCTCTCTGCCACCCCGGCCTGCACAGGCTGTCCCCTCCTGTCCTCGTTGCCCTTCCCGTGCCAGGTGACCTCGGCGGTCTGGGCCCCTCCGGCCCCGAAGGCCACCCAGGCGTGGTCCTCGCTCAGCGCCAGGTGCACATCCGGCAGCCCCAGCACCTGGCAGGCCCCGACCACCGCAAAGGCCACCCCTGAGCTGTCCAGCTTCGTACCTGGGGGGACACAGGGGCTTGGGGGGCTGGGACACCCCCAGAGAGCCCCCCAGCACCTGGCAGGCCCCAGCCTTGGCCCCGGGAGCTGCCCAGCTGCATCCCTAGGGGGGCACAGGGAGGCTCAGGGACCCCCCAGCTCCCCTCACGGGTGATGAAGCTGAAGAGGGACTGGATGTGTGTGGGGCCCTTGAAGCAGGAGTGCCTGAGGCTGTTCCAGGTGTCACCCCAGGACTCTGTGTGACCCCCCCCGTGACCCCGTGTGACCCCCCAGCACTCCCTCAGCCCCCCATACCAGTGATGAAGCTGAAGAGGGACTGGATGTGGGCCCTGTCCTTGAAGTAGGAGCGGCTGAGGCTGTTCCAGATGACATCGGACACCTTGCGCACGAGCTCCCGGGAGGAGCAGCCGTCGGGCCGGGGGTACAGGGACAGGTCCACGGCCCCCCGGATCTGGGCCGTGAACCGGGCGTAGAGCGCGGCCACGATGGACAGCTCGGCCACCGGGAAGTACAGGCGGGTCTGGGGGTCCGGCCCCGGGCGGGACTCAAAGGTGACCCCGGGGACGTTGGTGGGTAGGACGCGGTTCACGGCCAGGAAGTGCTCGACGAATCCCAGGACCAGCGACAGCAGCACCAGGTCGGGCTCGGGCTGGCGCAGCTCGGCCTCGAACAGCCGGATCACGGCGGCCACGGAGCGGAGCGGGAACAGCGCCTTCTGCCACGGCTTCAGCCCCATCCTGGGGCCTGGAGGGGGAATGGGGATTTATGGGGGTTACAGGGTGGTTTAGGGCGTCACAGGGTTCAGGGGCTCAGCCCCACCACGTAGGGCACAGAGCAGGGACAGAGCTTTCTGCCATGGCTTCAGCACCGTGGTGGGGCCTGGGGAGGAATGGGAGGGGTCAGAGGGACAAAAAAGGGGGAGTCCAGGGGGTTCGAGGGTCACGGCACCTCCTCCAGAGCTTGAGGCCCAGAGCGGGTGTGGGGGGGGGCAAAGGCGGGGTCGCAGAGGGGGCTGGGGGGGTCAGGGGGAACAGCAGCTTCTGGCCGAGCCCGGGGGGGGGGGCTGGGGGGCACAGGGAACGGGGGGCTTATGGGGGCGCAGGGAGGGGGTCGAGGGCTCTGGGGGTGTGTGGGGGAGACCCGGGGCTGCGGGAACCGGGACGGACCCGCCCCCCCGCGGAATCCCCAAAGCGGCGGGAACCCTCAGGGACCCCCCCGGACCCCACCGCCGGCCCGGAGCCCCCCCTCCCGCCGGCCCCACGGCCCCGGGACCCCCCGAACCCCCATGGGACGCCCCGAACCCCCCTGGGACCCCCCGAACGCCGCCGGGACACCCCCCCCCCTCACCGAGGCCGCCGCCGGCGCGGGCAGCGCGGGGCACGACGGGAGGGGGCGGGGCCTGCGGCGGCGCGGGCCGGGATTGGACGGGAGCTGAGGGCGGAAGAGGCCGGAATGGGCGGGGCGAGGCGGATAGAGGGGCGTGGCTAACAAGGGGCGTGGCCGCCGTGGGCGGTGCTCGGATTTTGGGGCGAGGTCCGGGCGGGGGGCGGGGTCTGCCGGGTGGGCGCGGCCTGTGGGAGGGTCCCGCGGCCCCCGCCCCCGATTACCCCCAAATCCCCCCGATTTCATCCCAAACGGCCCTGAATTGCCCCCAACTCCCCCTCAGGTTCCCCCCAAATCCCGCCCCAAGCGCCCCCATCTCCCCCTAACCACCTCCCAAAGTGCCCCAAATCGCCACAATTCCTCCTCAAATCCCCTCTCTGCTCCCGCCAGTGCCTCAATCTCCCCCAGTTCCCCCCAGACCCCCTCCCTATCCCCCCAAATCCTCCCAAGGGCCCAACCAAATCTCCCCGCAGTGCCCCCCCAAATCCCCGCGATTCCACCAAATCCCCTCCAGCACCCCCACCCCACCCCATCCAGGCAGAGCGCCGGGGCCGTTCCCCCACGTCCTTTATTGAGGTCCGAGGGGGTCCCGGGGGACCCAGGGGGGGTCAGCGGCGCTGGGGCAGTCAGAGCCCCCCCGCGGTCCTGGGGGGGGTCAGCGGCGCTGGGGGAGGCAAAGCCCCCCGGGCCGGGCCCGGGCGGTCCCGGCTTTGCAGGCACAGCGGAAGGAGCCGCTCGTGTTGATGCAGCGCTCACGGGGGCAGCGGGGACCCCCCCGGGGGTCTCGGCACTCATCGATGTCTGGGTGGTGGGAGACACAGGTCAAGGACCCCAAAATACCACCCCGGGACCCCCAACACTTTCCCCACCATAGAACCCCCAAATACCCTCCTGGGGGTCTCAGCACTTGTTTACATTTGGGGGCGAACATGGGCTTCCAGGACCCCCAAAATAACCCCGTGGGACCCCCAGCCTCCCCCCAGAGCCCCAGCACCTGCTGGTGTCTGTGGCATCAGGAACCCCAAACTCCCCCCAGGGATCCCAATACGGGGGGACCCTGGAGTAGGGGGAGTCCTGACCCCTTCCCCCCCTCCCACGCCAGGGGCCCCAGGGTTTGGGGGTCCCCAGGCATTCAGGGTGTCCCAGCAGGGTTTGGGGGTCCCCATTTGGGAAGGGGTCTCACCGAGGCAGCGGGTGCGGGTGGGGTCTGGCTGGAAGCCGGGGGGGCACTCGCAGAGTCCCCGGGGGGAGCGGAGGCAGCGACCAGGGACCCCCCCGGGACAGGGACATTCGGCAGAGTCTTCCTCGGAGCTGTCGTCACCTAGGGGGGCACAAGGGGGCTGGGGGACCTGGGGTGGGAGGCACGGAGGGAGCTGGGGGGCCCAGGGTAGGAGGACTGCAGTTTTAAGGGACATGGGGGGAGCTGGGGTGCCCAGGCTGGGGGGACCTGGTTACAGGGGGCCTAGAGACAATTTTTGGGGTCCCATGGGACAGAGGACCTTGGGCTGTGGGGCACAGGGTCAAGGTTTGGGGTGTCCAGGATAGGGATCCCAGGGCTGGGGGGTCCCTGGAGGAGGTTTGGGGTCCCAAGGTTGGGCGGTCCCAGGGTGGGATCCCGGGGGCTTTGTGGTTCCCAGGGGGCTTGGGGGCCCTGAGGGGGGGTGGGTGTTGGGGGTCTGGGTTTTGAGGTCTCGGGATTGTTGGGGGTCTCAGAGGTTTTGGGGGAGCAGGTTTTGGGGTCCCACCTCTGTGGGCCCCCTCCAAGCCGAGGGGGCTCACGTCCCAGAAGGAATTGCTCTCGCTCTGTGATGGGGGGCAGGGCAGGCCTAGGGAGAGCCCCACATCATCCCCTGCCCCCCAGGCAACTCCCACCCCCCATGTTCACCCCCTGTCCCCCCCCCAGCACTCCCTGCCCCCAGGATCTTCAGCAGCTCCCCCAGATCCCATAGAGACCCCCAGATCCCATAGGGATCCCCCAGACCACCCAAATCCCATAGAGACCCCAAATCCCATGGGAACTTCTCAGAGACCCCCTCCCTGTCCCCCCCCGGACTCCCCCAGATGCCTCACATCCCCCCCAGGGACCACATAGCCCCCCTGTAGCCCCCTCAAATCCCCTCCCGAGACTCCCCACAGCCCACCCCCCACCCCCCACGCCCCTACAACCCCGCCCCAGACCTCCCCCTGTCACCTGGGGGCCGGGGGGGGCAGGGCCGGCAGTGGGGGCCCCAGCCGGCCCCCCCCCGGCAGCAGCACTCGTCCAGTGTGAGGGGCCCCCCCCCCAGGGGCGCCCCGCAGACCCCCTCGTCCCCCCGCCGCTGCCAGCACACGTCCCGCCGCTCCGGGGGGGGCCGCTCCGGGCCGGGGGGGCGCTCTGCGGGCACGGGGGGGGGGACACAGGTCAGGGACCCCCAAATGCCTCCCCGTAGGACCCCCAGCACCCTCCCGGGGGTCCCGGCACTCGTTGGTGTCTGGGGGTCACACGGGGGGGGCTCGCGGGGATCGCACGGACGTGCCCCTCGCGCACCCCCCAACCCCCGGCCCCGGGGGGGGTCTCACCGTGCTCGGGGGAGGGGAGGCAGCGCCGCAGCCCCGGGTGGTACCGCGCCCCCGGCCCGCAGGTGCAGCGGAAGGAGCCGCGCGTGTTCTCGCACGCCCCGTCCACGCAGTTCGACTCGTCCAGGCACTCGTCCACGTCTGGGGGGCAGGGGGGGCTCGTGGGGACCCCTCGGCAGCACGGGGACCCCCAGGGGTCCCCCAACACCCTGGGGACCTGCAGGGATCCCCTCGGCTCTGCAGGGACCCCCAGCAGGCCCGGGGACCCCCAAACACCCCACACTTCCCAACACCCCAGGGACCTTCTGGGACCCCCTGCTTGCCCCCTATCCACGGCCCCCAGCCCCCCTTACCCAGGCACTGGCGCAGGGCGCTGTCGTAGTCGAAGCCAGCCTTGCAGTAGCACTCGTAGCCCGGCTGGGTGTTCACGCACTTCCCCCCCTTGCAGATCTCGTCCCCGAACAGCCCGCACTCATCGATGTCTGGGGGGGACCCCCGGCGGGCTCAGGGTCAGGCACTCCCCCCAGGGTACCCCCGAGGGGCACAGGGACCCCCCTGGAGACACAGGGACCCTCAGGACAGGGGGGACCTCAGGGCACAGAGACCCCCCTGGGGGTCGGGCGCAGTCCCGGGGGGGGGTCTCACCCCGGTGCGCTGGGACTCCGTAGTCGAGGCCGTTGTCATCCTGGATGAAGCCCCTCCCGTCGGGACAAAGCTCCACGAACTCAGCTGGGGGAGACAGGGGTGTGAAAGGGGGGATCCTGAATGCCCGGACCACCCCTGGGACCCCCTGGTGACCCCAGACTGCCCCCAGAGACCCTAAACTGCCCCCCGGGACCCTCAGAGCCCCCTCCTGTCGGGACAGAGCGCCAGAAACTTGGCGGAGGGGACAGAGGGGGGTCAAGTCCCCTTAGACCTGCAGAAGTCCCCCGAAGAGGGGATGGAAATGGGGTTACACCTGGCTGGGGACACCCGAGCCCCTCCAGGGTTCCCCCTTGCACGCGAGGAGAGGAGAGGGCAGGGGTAGACCCCGCACGGGACCTCCCAGCCCCCACCCCGGGCCCCCCAGGACCCTCCCCGGGCCCCCCCGTACCCGAGGAGGGCAGGGGGCAGGGGTACACCTCGCACAGGTCCCCCCATCCCGCCCCCACGGAGCAGCAACACTCCCCCCGCGTGACGTTGGTCCCCAAAACGGCGTCGCAGAACACGGGGAGCTCCAGGCTCAGGTAACACTCCTTGCGGGGGGCGGGGGGCTCCCGAGCTGCGAGGGGGGAGGAAAGGGGCGTCAACGGGGACCCCAGAGACTCCCCAGAGTCCCAGGGACCTCCCGGAGACACCTCCCCATACACACCTCAGGGACTCTCCAGGGACCTCCCAAAGACCCCCCCCAGAGACCCCCTCTCCTGAGCCCCAAGACCCCCAGAGACCTCCCAGGGACGCCCCCCCAGACTCCCTTCCAGACCCCCGGGGACACCCCGGACCGATAAAAGCTCTTGTGCAGCCCCAGGAACCCCCTAAAGACCCCACCCGACCTCCCTGGGACCCCCCAGACCCCCAGGGAGCCCCACAAAACCCCAGGGACCCCTCAGAAATGCCCTCAGACCCTTCGTGACCCCCCTGACCTCCCAGGGACCCTCCAGACCCCCCAGGGGCACCCCCAGACTCCCAGACCCCCCCTCACGGAGGCAGCGGCGCCCGTCAGGGCCGGGGGTGTAGCCGGGGGGGCAGCGGCAGCTGAACGACCCCTCGAGGTTGGTGCAGGTGCCGGGGGGGGGGGCACAGCCCGGGGTCCAGCGCACACTCGTCGATGTCTGGGGGGAAAAGGGGGGCACGGGGCTCGTGCCATGCTCGGGGAGACCCCCAGGGACCCCCCAGAGACCCCCCCAGGGACTCCCCCAGCCCTCCCTCGCACGATGGGGGGGTCTCCGCACCCGGAGAGAACGGGGGGCGTATGGGAGGGGGGGATCAGGGGCTGTTTTGGGAGGAGATTGGTGTGGGGACTGTGTTCGGGGGCTGTTCGGGGAGGGTCTCAGGACTCTCCGCACTCACCCTGGCAGCGGCGGCCGTGCAGCAGCGCGTACCCGGGGGGGCACAGGCACCGGTACGACCCCGCCGTGTTCACGCAGTCGCCGCCCACACACGCGGCCGCGAACTCGCACTCGTCGATGTCTGGGGGGGGGAAACGGGACCCCCGTGTGCGGGACCCCCGACCCGGACACGCCCCCCGTATACACCCCCCCACCTGGACACCTCCCAGACCCCCCAGGCCCCCCATGCACACACACAGAGACGCCCCCCCAGACCAAAGACTCCCCCCCCAAACTCCGTATATGCCCCCCCCCCGACCCCACTCAGCCCCTCCCAGATTTGAGGGTCCCTTGGCAGCAGGGGAGGGTCCCCGACCGGGTGCATCCCCAGCCCCCCCGGATGCGGGGGTACCTTGGCAGCGGGGGGGGTCCCGCGCCGGCTGCAGCCCGGGGGGGCACTGGCACTTGTAGGAGCCGGGGGTGTTGACGCAGTTCCCCCCGGGGCAGAGCCCTCCTGCCTCGCACTCGTTCACATCTGCACGACCCCCGTCAGCCTCTGCCCCGGGGGGGCTTTGGGGGCCGGGGGGGTCCTTGGAGGGGCAAAGGGGGTCCTGGGGGGAAGCAGGGATGGGGGTCCTGGGGTGGGGACAGGGATGGGGGCCCTGGGTGAGGGTCCCGGGGGTGCTCTGGGTCGGGGAGAGAAGTCAGGGATGGGTTCCCCAGGGAGGACTTGAGGGGGGGCCCGGGGTGCAGGACATGTGGATATTGGGGTCTCTGGGCTGGGGTTCTGGGGGTCCCCAGGATAAAGGGGTCTCCAGGAAAAGGGGTCCTAAGGGATCCCAGGCTTCCTGGGGGGTCCCAGGGATGGTGACTGAGGCAGGCACGTTGAGGCCGTGGAAGCCGGGGGGGTGCACAGGGTTCCCGGGGGGTCCCAGGGAGGGGACCTGGGGGGTTTGGGAGGGTCCTGGGTGGTCCCCTGGGGGTGCTGACCGAGGCAGGCGCCGTTGAGGCCACGGAAGCCGGGGGGGCAGGGGGTGCACACGAACCCCCCGGGCTGGTTCTCACACTTGGCCTCGGGGCACGTCCCCACATCCAGGCACTCGTTGATATCTGGGAGGGGGACGGGGGGACATGGGGGGCATCAGGGGATGGGGGGGACCCCACAGCATCCTGTACTGGGGGCCTGCAGGATCCCCTGTCCCTGGTGTCCCTGCGTCCCCACCCAGCGTCCCCCCCTCACTCCCATGCCTGTCCCCCCCCAGTGTCACCTTCGCAGAGGGGTGGCCGGGAGCCCTTGCGCCGGTACCCGGGGTGACACTCGCACTTGTAGTGCCCGGGGACGTTGGCGCAGGTGCCGCCGTCCCCACACACGTCGCCCTTGGCACATTCGTCGATGTCTGTGGGGACACACGGGGTCACAAGCCCTGTCCCCAACCCTGGCCAGCGTCCCCAACCCTGGCCCATGTCCTGAACCGTGTCCAATGTCCCCAACTCCAGCCACTGTCTCCCACCCCATCCCGTGTCTCCAACCCTGTCCCGTGTCCCCAAGCCCGGACAGTGTCCCCAGTCCCAGACAGTGTCCCCCACCCCTTCCCCGGGCTCCGTGTCCCTGTGTCCCCACACCCATGGCCCCCCCGTGCTCCCCAGGGCCTTGTGACCCCATAACCCTTGGGACGCCCCCAACCCCCGTGCCCCCTCCCCGTATCCCCTGTGACCCTTGTGACCCCAGCCACCCCTGCCCCCCCGTGTCCCCCCCCGTGCCCCCCCGTACCTGTGCAGGTGCGCAGCCCCTTGTGCAGGCGCAGCTGGAACCCACGGTGACAGTGACACGTGTAGGAGCCACCCGTGTTCATGCAGACGCCGCGCCCAGCGCCGCACGGCTCAGCCTCGCACTCGTTCACATCTGTGCACGTGTAGCAGAGCGTGTCAGCATGTGTCACCACGTGTGGCAGAGCGTGTCAGTGTGTGTGTCACCACGTGTGGCAGAGCGTGTCAGAGCGTGTCACCACCTGTGTCAGAGTGTCACATGTGTGACCCCCCATGTCCCCACATGTGTCAGAGCGTGTCACCACCTGTGTCAGAGTGTCATGTGCGACCCCCCGTGTCCCCACATGTGTCAGAGCGTGTCACCGCGTGTGTGAGCCCCCGGGCCACCCGTACCGGTGCAGTAGCGGCGCTGGGGGTGCCAGCGGTACCCCGGGAAGCAGAGGCAGCTGTACCCCCCCGGGCCCATCACACACTCCCCGGGGCCGCAGATGTTCCGGTTCAGTTTGCACTCGTCCGTCTCTGGGGGAACAAGGGGGCTCGGGGAGGGCTCAGGGGGTCCCAAAAGGTCCCACGAGGTCCCAGGGGGGTCACAGGAGGGCTCGGGGGGGGTCTCAGGGGCATCTCAGGGCGATCCCAGAAGGATTGAGGGGTTCCAAGGGGTCCCAAATGGTATTAGAGGGGGTCCCAGGAAGGTCTGGAGAAGACTGGGGGGTTCTGGGCGTCCCAGGGGGTTCTTGGGGGTCCAAGGGTAGGTCCCAGGGGTCTCTGGGGGGTTCCGGGGGGTCTCAGGGGGCTCTTGGGGTTCCAAAGGTAGGTCCCAGAGGTCTCTGGAGGGTTGCTACGGGGTCTCAGGGAGTTTGGGGGTCCCAGGGGTGTCTGGAGGGTGCCAGGGGGTCCCAAGGAGTCCCAGGGGTTCTCAGGGAATCTGGAGGTCCCAAGGGGGTCAGGGGGATCTCAATGGGTCACAGTGGGTCCCAGGGGGCTCCCAGGTGTGCTGGGGATCCAGGGGGACCCAGGGGGGTCCAGTGGGTCCCAGGGGGCCCAGGGGGTCCTCACCGGTGACCTGGGTGGGCGCGATCTCGGCGGCACTGCGGGTCAGCTGCTCCGGGGGCAGCTGCCACAGCGGGGCCGGCGTGGGCCGGGCCACCAGCGCTGGGGACATGCCGTGGGACAGGGGCACAGGGACACGGAGCCCACAGGGCCCTGTCCCCGTGTGCGTCCCACCCCATCCCAGCCCTTGTCCCCATCCTTGTCCTTATCCTTGCCCCCGTTCATGTCCCCAAACTGACCCCAACCCATTCTGGTCCCTGTGTCCCTGTCCCCTCCTCTCTGTGCCTGGGACACGTGTGTCCTGGCCCCATCCATGTCCCCATCCACATCCTCATCCATGTCCCCATCCACATCCTCATCCATGTCCCCATCCACGTCCCCATCCACATCCCC